ATAGTTTTGAATTGTGTTTCGTTTTCAGTTACATATAAGTGTACTGATGTCGACTTGGGCCTATATGTTTATATTTTATTCTACATAAACTTGTCCTGATCGTGATACTCTAATGTAATAATATGACGATAATAGAGAACCAGTCCAAAAGTACGAAATATGTCCACAATAATACTGTTAGTATCTATTCTATCTATATAAAATCCAATGTATGTTTGTATTTTTGTATGTTTGTATATTTGTATGTTTGTCCTTTACGGACTCCGAAACCGCTCGACAGATTGTGATGAAACTTTTAGGCATTATTCAAGGATGGTTTGTGTGAAGCTTGGTGCAGATCCGTCAATAGGGCTCCGCCCCAGTGGCTCTGAAGTTTCCCATGTTAACCTTATGAGTACTCATATTTAAATGTAATTTAAGAATCTTAACACCTGGTTCAACTAATCAATTTGATTATGTGATGTTCAATAGTATTAAAAAGTTAATATGTTTACCAACAGGGTGCAGCACTATTATTATTTTTAAATTTATGACAACAGGTAATTTGCAACCAAAAGGTGAGTGAGCGTAGCGAACAAACTTCAACCTGGAGGCGAGTTAGCGTAGCGAACGAGCTCCAACCTAAAGGTGAGTGAGCGTAGCGAACGAACTTCAAACAGGACGTGATTGAGCCATGCGAACGAGCTCATCTTGAAAATGAACGAGCTTTTGACATAAAACCACATTAGGACAGGACGACGTCTGTCGGGCCAGCTAGTAACAAATAAATTTGAAAGGTCCAAGGGAATTGAAATTGTATAATTCTAATTAATTTTTCAACTACAATAACGATGATGCCAGAAAAAATCTTTTTAATTGTACTTAAAACAAAAAACAATTTCCAGTGGCCGCAGAACTGTAAACTATAAAATCTCATTTCTAAGCAAACATAAATTTCTCTGGAGCGCGATGTATTAGAATAAGAGCATAAATAATTGTAGCGCCACGACCCAAGGGGCGTTGGGAGGGGGGGGGGGATTTATATGGCTGGGTCTGGTGAAAACCGGGAAAACAGAAATATTGCAGTTTTCTCTATCGGTAGCCATTCATTGTCATCAGATTGTTTAAACAATGAGAAATACTGTGTAAACTATTGTTACCACGTTTCAAAATTCGAACAGATTTTTCCATATCAATGAGTATTAAATTATACCTTTGCAAATTTGAAATTTACTCAATATAAAATTTACATTCTGAAAATATGCAATGCCCAGCTTACTAGCATACACTTAAAAAGGGATTTAAGTAATCTTAATCAAAATTACTATTTTAGTACTGTAGTAGCTAAGCAGCTTAAAATTTGAAGCTTGTTTCAATGCGTGTTTCATGTCCTGCGCTGTAGACTAAATGTGTACTATATCTTCTAATTTAGGGTTACTCTTGACATTGTAGGCTACACTTTACCCATTTGTTAAGATAAAATATATTTTTTTTGCGAATTTCCAATATAGGGAATAAGCTATTGCCGTAGGTCTCATGGTAAGACCTGGACCCGAGACCGATTTACTTTTTCGTTTTGATGAGCCCCAGAGGTAAAAAAAAAACATTCATTCAAATTCACATACTGTATATTTTATTTGAACGAGTTCGTGAACCAGCATGATCGGACCATTACAACAGGGTTTAATGGGGTAAAAATGGCATTTCTCGTTTTTTACCCTCAAAGCATCTTTTTCGTCATGCTGATTGCCGAAGCAAATACAGCTGTAGCTAGGCAAATTGTATTTAATGCATGCGTTGGGGTTCTTAGTAACATGCGTTAGCCCATAATAAAATCAGCTGTTGTCAACTCAGTTGTCAATTTTGATTGTAAACAATCACATTATATCGAAAGTATGTATCGATTGTAAATTATTGTTGCCTTGTCAGTAAGTAGTTCGTCATATCGATAGACTAATGTACACAGATAGACGAAACGATTGAATCACCAAACAGCTGATTGTTTCCATTAGCAAATTACATTGAAATAAGTAGAAATGGTTTTCTTGAAATTTAAACTATATCAGTTTTGTTCAAATAATCGTGCAAAAGACGAAAAATATCATTCATGGCTAGGGCAAATTGTATTTTCAACCCTCGCTAATTTTCCGACCTCGGATTCGCCTCGATCGTAAAACTTGAGCTCGGGTCGAAAAGAGTCATTTTAGGGCCTAGTACACACATATAACATTTTTTAAGGTGATTAAAAAAGTTCGTGTCCTAGAAAAACCCCCTATTTTTAGCTCATAAACTTGTGTTAGTGATTCAACTTTTAAATACTCAATTACAAACTAATTTTTGTCCAACTATGGACAGAGATTTCTACTTTTTTTTTAGTCATTATACTTTACTTACTTTAATACTTTTCAATGAAATGGCGACTATAGTCAAAGCTAACAGTTTAGTGTTGAATTGTGTTAGACATTGTTTTATGCCCACATGTGCTGTAAGTCATACAATTAGTGTCCCACTTTAGCTTAGCTTCTTGCTAATAAACAATTACCCAACGTACACAACTTGAGTACTCTCCTATGTCACAAAGGGTAAAACGTCATAAGCCTCGAGGTAATTTAAATTATGAATTATATAGAGCTTCTTAATACCACTGTGTCTTATTGTTTATTTATTTCACTTACTAGTTAAAAATTGTCACTTATGATTTATATATTGGTGTAGTAATGTAAAAAAGCCTTCAGAAATATTTCATAAATAGCCAGATAAAAGAATCATGAGATGTAGTAAAGTATTTCTACATATTTTCTTTTTTACAGGTATATCTTCATAGCAGCGGATTTTCAAAGTGTGATCAGACCGTAGGAGAAAATATAATTTCATAGTGATGATGCCTAAACATTTCTATGGATATGGGAAAGAAATAAATACCTATTATACTCGTGTAATGAGCAATGTTTGCTTGCATGTTTGTTTGTATGCTTGCTTGCACAAAGATCTCGATAAAGTCTGTAAATAATTTATATATGGCCTAAAAACGTGTTTAGGTCAGATATAAATTAACTACAGATATTAGTTAACTGCACACACAAATCTAGTTAGTTAAAAAAGCCATGGCTTGGTCCCTAGCTACTAGAGTTGTTAAGATTTTTTGTCTTAGGACGATAGGCATGAGCCCGGTCAATTGTTATTCACATTACTTCAGGCAATGAATCAGGAGACCCAGAGTTGTTAAGATGGTAACGTAAATGATATTATAATAGATTTCTTGAAATAGTAATGAGTCTAAAGGGAATTATCTATAGATTCTCTTCTTTGGAACAATGCGCTACTAACCATGAACAAATTTCCACTTGTGAAATTTCGGGATATCCTTGAGATAAACTTAATGAACTTGGGTTCATGCTAAAACCATTAATGAAAAACTCATTCATGTGAAAACTACCATCATAATCTCTCGTGGTTTTGAATTTTGGTACAAAAAATTGCTATTAACAGCCAATACATACACTCCTTTCCACCTCATTATTCTATGATAGAGTGAAGAATAAGTTGACGTCTGCAGCATTCTCTTTTGGAAAATCAGACCAATACAATTTCTTGTCCATTTAACAAGAACATTTTGTATAAAGGCACTACAAATTAAAGCATTCTTTTGAAGCCAAGAAAATAGATGAAGTTCAGGACTGCCTAACTAGTGGGTACAATTAGTAAAATATTTGACTATTAATAGTCAATGGTTAAATTTTCATTAAAATCAATGCAGTATCATAGCAAACAGCTGATTGATTTTTCACTTGATACAGAATATTTTCATTAGTTGTTAGACCATCTCAACAGACTGCACCATGCTTTTGGCTTTAAATTTTACATTACATGGGAAGTCTATACTGTGTATAGTCAATTGTAGCATACAGTAATGACGAACTCCAAACAGCTGTTTATGTATTGTTGTAAATCTCTCTTTAGCATCAGTGTAACTTCTAAGCTTGCTCGACTTTTAATTTGGGGAATAGTTTTAACACTCGTTGTTGGTAATATAATTTTTTATTTACTAGTTTAAAATTTACTTTTACCATCTCCAGAGGTAATTAGATATTCCGGGCATTGTCCTAACGAATATGTTATTCTTATCACAATTGCTGATTATTCTTCTCAAAAGTATTTGTTCAGAAGATTATTTACCTTAAAAAAGTAGGTAAGTCTGTATCAATATATAAGTCTGTTTAACAACATACTGTTGCCATCTTAGGTACAGATTTGTTTTTGTCTGGTTAAAAAAGATCAATATACAAATAATTAAGAATTTTGTATGAAATTATTCGTTAGTTATTTCTGAGTTGCATCCCATGTATACACCAGTATTGATTTTTTTAGTTGTCAATGTACATGGATTATTATAGAAGTAAAAATAGATTATGTTACATATGTAGGTAGTTTCTCTTATAAACTCTTGCCATTGGCAGTAATTTATACACAAATAAAACTTACTATCCATTGCGATAGTGATCTCCAAAGCTGTCTTCCTCCGGATAGCACAAATACTTCAGTCACTCAATCTTATGAATAAACCCCATGTGTACGTTCCACAGATTCCACTGTCCCAGTGCTATGACTTCTTCAAGTTTGTATATTTTTATTGCAATGTGAATTTTTCATTCAAAATAGCATTCGTGTTGAGATTAAAGCAAATACTGAATTTTACCTCAAAAAAGCAAAAGTGATGTAGTATATTTTCTAGCAAATGTTTTACTGAGTTTGAACTTTGAACTATCTGAGCTTTTGATTATATTGAGAAATTATTTGCTATCCAACATTTAGGTTATCTTTTCAAAAAAATTGTAAGTAATTACATCAATATTATGTTCTCGTAAGAACAAAAGTTGGAAAACATTAAGTTATGTCTTTTACTTGTAGAAGTATTGATTATTTGTCAATTTACCAGCAAGTACATTGTTATCACAATCACACCCAAAATCAGGTAAAATGAGAACACAAGAGTATGATACAAATACATTTTAATATTTTCTAGATAAAAATTATTAATATAACTTATTTTCGACATATGGTAGTGAAAAAACATACAATATATTTATATACTTTTTATCTGTAAGAATCGACAAACAAAACATGTATAACACTATTCATAAAACATATATTACCCTAAAAAGACATACTATAAAACGGACACTAGAAAATATATAAGTACATGTTATACATACAAATATAAATGTCATTTGCATATTATGTCATTTATTTGCGATATAGAAAACATTATTAACAGTTTTGGTACGGCCAACGAAACCTCATGTTTGAGAACGAAAGTACCAAAATACATTACGTATAAAATACCCTTTACTCTAAAATACCTATTTTGAAATATTGCATATGGTATGGAAGGCGCCTAAAGGGGGTCTGTATCCAAAATAGCTGCGAACATATCCCTACTCGGGCGTAACGGGTAAATAAATAAATAAAACTTAACACCTAATTGTCAACTAAACAATAAATTTCTAACAATAATATCTACACAAACAATAAATTATGGCGTAATATAAATATATCTTACAGTTTTTTGTTTATGTAACTCATAGTGAACGCCCTTTAGAATATTTTTGCAGCCGAGGGATATGTTTGCTCATTTGAAAATGTACGATACATAAATATATATATATACTATATTATTTGGGCAATAAGGGGATGTTTCAAAAATAATTTCCTTGACATTTTGTAACTGTTTACTAAAAATGATTGTACAATTTGTATCAAACGTGTTCTGTGGGAAAAGTTTTGAAATTTATCAGTTTGATGGGTTATTTAAATCAACATTAATTACGTATGATTTGTTTCAAGAGAGTTAAGCTTATAAGAGAATGAAATTCTAACGATATGTGAAAATATCGATACGATTCAATTTTAAAATACGATGCAAAATTTACCAGAGACATATAACAACTATTTGAAATTAACCATTTTAAACCCACAGAACATCAATGAACATTTTACAATACACCTGAAAATTTGAATAACTGGAATCATCAACAACATACAAAATATTGGTGTTTTGATTATTTTCAGCTTTAAGAAAGAAACGTGACAGGTTAAAACATCAGCTGTTTGCTATAGTTGACCCTTCCGAGGTTCTTTGGTACTTGAAGAGCGACAAGAAAAAAAGAGAAAAAAGCGGGGGCCAACTACAGCAAAGAACACACCAACCTTCAAAGCCCCTTCGACCGCCCAGAAACGCCGTTCAAAAAAATACCTTTATTGTGGTTTGAGCAATTTAGTGAAGGTGAGGCATTTTGGCACTACATCCGAACCAAACTCACGAACATGTATCAGTCGTGCTCAGGGTTGTCTTTTGTAACAAAAATAACTTAATTTACGCAGTTCTTCGATAAATTGCTTGTAGTTTTATCAGTTGGCTAGTACACGTATAAAAGTAAAACACAGATTTAAAGGCTATATGAAATGGAAACATAGATAAAACATTCAACAGACATTCCTTGTGCGTGAATCCATGCTGTCGGCGGCGGACCGTGCTTCCCTCAGCGTGTAATCTCAAATGTATGGTAAAGCACCAAGAGTAAGTGTAGAAGTGCGCCGGTGTTGTGAGATTGTGGTATTATTGTGCGCCGTGTGTGTTAAGCCCCGTGTACACGTAGCTAGTTTACTAGCAGCTAGTATTCGCTGCTAGCACTAGCTGGGCACACTAGCGCGAAAATTCCCATCTACACGTGGCTAGTTACTAGCGCTTATTATTAGCGCTAGTCATGTAGAAGTGAAGTGTTCATTGGTCGCAATAGTCATTTCAGTTTAGCACAAAATGTCTTCTGTTCCCTTAAATCGAAATGTTTTGAGACACATTTTAAGAATTGGTGTACAAGAATTGTGTGAACATGAACTTAACTAGGTGTACAATGCAGTTGTCTGCTAGCAATATTGAGCGGAGCTAGCGTGTTAATCCAATACTTTTCTAAAGTCAATACTACATCTGTTCCTCGTAAATGAAATTAAATACTTGCAGTATCCAATGTCAATGTTATATCTGCTTCACAAAAACGGAATGTCTATTTGAAGTATTCAAAGTCAATTTTAAGTCTGTTTCAAGTAAATGAATTGTATACTTGCAGGAACCAAAGTCAATGTTTCATCTGGTTCTCTTAAATGTCTACTTGCAGTATCCAATATCAATGATACATTTGGTTCGCTTAAATAAAATGCCTATTTGCCAATGGTACGCCTGGTTCACTTAAATGGAATGTCTATTTGCAGGATCCAAAGCAATGCTTCATTTGACTCACATAAATGAGAAATCTACTTTCAGTATCCAAAGTCAATGATACGTCGGGTTCTCGTAAACGAATAATTTACTTGCAGTATCCAAACTCAATGGTACATTTGGTTAACGTAAATGAATTGTTTACTTGCAGTATCTAAACTCAGTAGTACCATAGATAAAACATACTCCCTTGTGTTGGTTAGTCTATGGTAGTACATTTGGTTCACGTAAGGAGTGCCTATAGAGATCGATGGCTTATTTGCAGGATCCAAAGTCAATGGTACGTCTGGATCACAACAATGGAATGTCTACTTGCAGTTTGCAGTATCCAAACTCAATTGTAGGCCTATATTTGGTTCACATAAATAGAATGGCTATGTGGATTACCGTATTTAAATCAATGGTGCATCGGCTTTATTCCGGCGACCATAATATTATTGGTTATTCATTTTGTAGTAAATTATGCTCAATGATATTAATCCGGTTGATATTCCCTTTTCTCTGTACAATATTTCTAATGTGCTATTTAGATGATTCCTTGACTAACACATGTTGCGACTCTTGTTTACCTTTTTATTGTTATCTCGCAAATAATGTCATGGCAACCAATTAACCCATAAGGCCCATGTTAAATTTCCAAAAGTTTAAATTAATGTAGAGAAACCCCCTGTGGTCCGATTTCTACCATTTCAGATTTATACCTTCCCATGGTTGAATGCTATGATTGTTCTAAATTTGGTGCAGATCGCTTCAGCCGTTCAGGAGGAGTATTTGTAAAACAAAAGCAGGAGTGTAGTATAAGAGCTTCGCTCGCTTCGCTTCGCTCCGCTCAATAAAAAGGGACGATCTGTGTGGGTTCGAAAGTGGATTAGGAGGCGAGAACATCTTGGTGCGTCCAATACTCTTTTAAGAGAACTGGCATTGGAAGACCCTACAGAGTACTTTAAGTTTTTGAGAATGAATGCTTTAAAGTTTGAAGAACTGTTGGAACTAATCACTCCACTGATTAAGAAAAATTTTACTGTTATGAGAGAGGCTATAACGCCAAAAACTAAACTTCAAATAACTCTGAGGTATTTGGCAACAGAGATTCATTTCCTTCTTTACAATACACAAACTGGCCACAATGTAACAACACACACAACAACAACAAACTGATCACCGGCGTGTGGCGAGTGGCGATTAGCACTAGCAGAAGTGCAAATGCCCCGCTAGTACCGCGCTAGTTCGCTAGCGCTAGTGGTCACGTGACCACCCCCTCCACTTATTAGCGCTAGTAATATCAAACATGTTCAAAACGACTAGCAGCGAGTAAAATGCTAGCGCGCTAGTAATTTTTTACGCTAGTAGACCGTTTACACGGAGCGAATTTACTAGCGCTAATCAACTAGCTGCTAGTACTAGCCTCGTGTACACGGGGCTTAAGGCAGGCAGTACGCTACGCACTGAGGTGCATGTATTGCCTACAACCCATCTGACGGCGTCACACGCGGCGCACTTCTGATAGGACAAATTTGAACAGGAGGCACGACCGCCGCCGATCCAAAATTCTTATTTCACTGCCCAAAGTTAACAACCGCGTCCGGTACAAGACGACAAACCGATGATATGTGCTGAAAACCATCACATCAATTCATATAAAATAGATATTTAAAATCGACAACATTAAATAACAAAAACACTACACATTTCCTAAATGACAACAAACGATAATGTAAATTCTGCTGAACCGCGCCCGCTGAGGTATTGCACCTTACAAAATCTGTTCGTAATGTTTTCAACACTCGGTACAAAGCTCCGGATTATTGCTGGCGATGGAATGGTCGGACCGGACAAAGAGGTTCTCGGAAGGGCGTCCTTTCTACTTTTTGAAAAGGGCTCTATATACAAAGCGTTATACCTGCCAGCGTTCGGCTGGAACCACCAGTTCTGGCTCAGTACTTTGTCCTGTTCTGTGAAGTTTCAGACCAAGACGGTGGTCCACGGCAGTGCCTTTTGTTTTTCTTCCGCGAGCTCCGAGATAAAAACCGTAAACAATGTGAGGACTATTATAATTATCGCCTTTGTTGGTCTTTGGATAATGAATAGAAAGATCACACGGGGGTATGATGTTTAACACCGGTAGTGAACAAGAGGGTAATAAATTAACAGGCGTTCAAAGCAAACACTGGAGTGTTGTGGAGTTTTGTAATTAGTAATTTAATTAAGACAATAGCTGCCGGAAGACGGCATCGTTCGGCGAAGATTTCATTTATCCAGAACTCTGTTTCCAGCCGCGGATGAAGCTGGGGGTTCCACGTCAACCAAGGCTGAAGCGGAAAGAAATTCATGACTTCCAAGCGATTTTATAAGGTCACAATTCTCTAGATTGCAACGCCTACAGCTACTTCACTTCTAAATACCCTTCTATTCTAGAATAATGCAAAAGTTTTAAGTTTTATTCGAAACTAGTCACACTGGTTGCTTTACTGTTGTCTGACGATTTTTTACGTAAATTTAGTGAAGCTCTCACACAATTTCTAAGTACAAACAAATGTCATGCTGGAGGTAAAGATAATTGTTAATTCAAATGGTTGATTAGATGATAGACGTGGCCTACAAAGCATTTCATACATGACAAATTGTTCGGCACAATAAATTCCTCTCTTTGAAGCTAATTTTGTAGCGAATCGCAACAGCAAGATGATCGCTCGCCTGACAACAGCAGTACCAACACCCGAACAGACAATTTGAAAATTTAAGGCAAAAAGAAGCGCCGAGCGTCTCGGTGGTGGGCAAGTCTTTCAAGTACTGTACTTCCTTCGTGTTGAGCCCCACTGAGATTTGATTGTCTTAGTTTGTCCGGAAGAACAAACCGAAGCCCACGACTCGAGACGCACGGCTCGGAATACAAATAAACAGACACTAAAACATGCGAAAGAACAGTTCATATATTTTGTAATAATATTATATAATTTGTGAGCAGAGGTGACCGTCACCCCGGCCCTTATTGCTGAGAGAGGTTGGGCGGGGGGTCGGGCAACTGTTATAATCTGTTACAATATAAATACTTAAGTAATAATATTTAATGTACAATGTAATAAATTATGTATTTAAGTATTGTAAAACAGCCTCGCCAGTGAGCGAGGGTTATAGTTTCAAACAAAAGGATTTTTCTATTTTTAGTTACTTTTATAAATATATTAATATATTAGGCCCGAACCTATTTTTATCTCTTAGACAAATGTATATATAACAATGTAATCGAGTCATTAACTATATCAGTCGAAAGCTAGCATCTATCCTCAATCCGATCCTTTACATGCGACACCGACAAATGGATACTGTATTGCGACAAAAACACAACGTCAACACAACGTTATTGTGAAAAGATTGCTTTACATCTCTACTGAACCACCGCGGAGGCCACCCCACAGTTGTGGAGGGTATAGTGGGGGGGGGGGTGTGATCTGAGGGGTGGGAGAGAGAGAGAGAGAGAGGACTGGGGGATGTGGGGGGCCTCCCGCAACGACAAGCCATGCACATCTACGCTACACTTTGAGTGCCGAGATATAATAACATGAACAACCAAACAGCGAATTTCATCATACAGTACCGATAAAAGTTTGAAACTTAAAAAGAAACAGGAAGACCGAATTCGAGTCGGAAACCTACAGACATTCCGGGCAACTCTTTCAGGGCCAACATGAGCGTTCTAACAGAAAAAATAGCTTCGTCGTTTCTCTAAATATTTCATATATTTTTAATTTACATCTACTTATATCATATAGTATCGTATAATATATAATAGGATCGTAATAAAATAGAAAAAAAGACTATCGAGTTTTATTACTAATACTCTCCACTCGAATTGTGCATTTGTGGCGTAAACAAAGATAGAGCTATACACGCAGAGGGCGCGCCAAACGGAACAAAATGTCAACAACACAACTAAACCTATCGCCTATCGAGATAAAAAAATAAATTCTAAGAAACTTTCGTTTATCAAAACTAGAAAACAAAATATATAAGAAAGTAAATATGTAAAACGCTTAAGTCTACTATAATAAAACTTTTCCTAAAATAAGAAATACAACAAAAATATACAGATCATCGAACTTTAATGATTCGAAATAGTCTTTAAAGTGAAAACAAAATTCAACTATGACGAGACCCTGGAAAGGGCGGCTTAACACTAATATTACATAGATATAGAACATTTATAATATTATCAATAATTAATTATTTTTCTTTATATAAAAAGTAAACAAATACTGGAAAAAATATGATCTTTGTTTATATAAAGAGGCAAAAACGCGGCGGAGGGTGGGGCACCGGGGCGAAGTTTCTGGCATTGGAGTCTACCTAACTACACGGCCGGCGGTGGGACGTCTCACCCTGTATATACTGAACACTAGACACAGACACTTGACTATCACCGGGGACACGTGTCGTACTGTACATCAATCTGGGACAATGTCTTCGTTGTGGGACAATCGATATGATCGACTGGGAATCAGTGAGATTTGAGTTGTGCAACAATTGTGCAAATGACGAGGATACCGCTTGGAGCTAAGACCCGAGTGAGACGCCCCTATACTTGACAGGAGCCGCCGAACCGCAAGCAGACGATAACGAAACAAACAGCTACATGGAGAAGCGGAAAACAAAGTCGCGACTACCATAACGAGCCAGGATACATCCGGGGACTAATCTATCGTATAAAACCTGCCTAGGCAGAACACATCTAAATATACAAAAGGTCCTTTAACTTATGGCTACCATATCACAACAACGAAACGAAACTATAGAGGGATATGTCCTGACTAACAGCAGTCTATAACACGAGGAATGCTTAATGAAACGTCCGTATAAAAAGGATTGCATTTGCTCTTATTAAAACCTTGGAACCGCAGAGGTCCGAAGTGGCAGTTTAGAAATCACAGCCTGGTGCCGGTCCCCACCCACCCTCGCACAGAGAGCGGATACTCTTCATATTACAGTATTACTTATATCAGCCTCTCAAACAGACTGAAGCACCGAGAGTGTCCAAGGGCCTCGCAGGACCCGGTCAGGCGACCGTCCGGTACACAGGGTCTAAAACAGAGATCAAAATAGGAAAACAACTCGTACACTCGACTCAACGTAATAAAAACAACTGAAAACGTTAACATAAAATAACATAATATACAATAAACTCTGTTTGGCGGCGGGCGGTTAGCTTAGGAGGAGTTGAGGATGCGAATGGCCTGAAGTACCGTCTGGTGACACACGGGGCAGGTGGAGTCCGGGCCCGTCGTGAGGCGGGTGGCGCAGTCGTAGCAGAAGAGGTTGTGACCGCAGGGTACCAGAGCGGCGGTTACCTCGCCGATACCGCAGACGTGGCAGTCGCGGTGTTTGCCGATCAGAGAGTCAGTAGGGGAGGCGGAGTGCGGGGGCGAAGGCCTGGCGCTGAACGACCAGATGCTGGAGGAAGCTGTCGCCGTGTCAAAGGATGGAGAGTCTCCGAGACCCTCGTCCCTGTCGAGGCTGGTGCCCCAGATGGAGCCGAGGTCCGCCAGACCGGTGGTGCCGGATGCTGAGGAGCTTGAGGACGCGGAGCTACAACCTGAGCTGCCGCTGAGTGTTGAGGGGAACACTACGGTGTCACTGTCCAGACCGTAGCCGAACAGACTGGAGAAGCCGGACTTGTACACGGAGTTGAGCAGGGTGCTGCTGTCGGGGTTGAACAGCGTGTCTTGGAACAGAGAGTCGGGCATACTACCGGCTCCTGTCCTGACTGCGATGTGAGCCTCAATCTCTCTCTTGGCCGCCTCCACACTCTCTGGCAGGCCTGTCACGTCGAACACCGGCTCCTTGTCTCTGGAGGGCGTCACTATGTAGGTGTGCGTCTGGTGTTGGATACGCTTGATCGTCGCCCCCTTGGGTCCGACCACGAGTCCCACAACTCTGTAGGGTACTCGGACCTGGATAGTCACGTGACCGGGAACGTTAGCTGGAGGTCCCGGAGGAGACAGGGAGCCTGATCCTGACAGATTGTTCTTCCTGGAGGCTCTGATCTGGCTGAAGTGTTCGGCGGCTGACAGTATCTCTCTCTTAGCTTTGGCGACGTCTTCCTTTCTCCCAGTGACCACAAAGACTGGCTCCTCTCCTCGCACCGGTGTCTTGATGTAAGTGTTCGTCTTGGCCCGCAGCGCCTTGATCTTGCATCCTGCAACATAACGACAATGCTATTAGTCAAAAATCTTTTAATTATTTTTAACAATTTTTAATAAACACTTTCCCTGTATCGGGTCTTGCAAATCGGAAAAATTGAATGTCTATAATCATATACCTAACACTACACCAGTTCTATACTAATCCTAATTCCCAAGACATACTCAAAAACATTAACAATACCAGAAGGCAATAATTAATCGATTGCTACACAAAGCTTTTCTGGCATCGCGAGCAGCGGTGATATCAATAAATTAGAGCGTCGCCAAACGATCTGGACGAGCGGCGCCGAACAAAGAACTGATAATAACAGTGTGCCTTACACAACTCCGGCGTCCGTCGATTTTGGAAAAAATATCCTCAGCCCGAGGACCCGGGAGGGCAAAAAAGTGGAACGGCAGAAGTTGAAGTGGATATTGAAACAAAAGCGACGGCCGGCCTTCGACTTCACCTTGGACGGACTCTGAACCTGGGCCATATATCGCTTTGTAGTCTAGCGTTCTCCGGTTCTCCTCACTCTGGAGCCACAGGAAACTGGGAAGAATGCGCTCTCTCTCCCTCCCCCACCCACCCCTGTCACATTCCGTTAAATAATTTACACAAGTACTCTAACGGTCTGTTCGCCAGGGGGTTGAAAAGTTCGTTATTAGTTCGATAGGACGGTAATTGGATCGTTTTTTACCGGTAGGGTTGAAACGCTCTAGGCAGGTTGTGTCAGGGGTGTAACCCTTGGTCGTAGTTATAGCAGGGACATTTGAATCGCCAAAGGATTTTCTTTAGTTGCAAAGAGAATCTTTTTAAGACTAATAATTTCCTAACACATTTTCTTGTGCATTAAAAAACTAGTCAATAAGTCAGCCATATTTACGTTTCCAAATTAACAACACTGTAACAAACAATTACCACAGTGTACAGTCTAAACTAACACTGACGATGCAGTCTGGATCACGACACTCTGATCGATTACCTATAATTGTGAAGGCATTGACATTAACCTCGTCCAAGGACTGTTCTCTCACGCGACCAAACTATTATACAATCGATCTATTCGTCGCAACGATTAGCTTGTTTCTTCCGCATTATGTCTAAAGTTGTATCGCAGCCATATAAAAATGCAAACACACCAGATTAAATTTAACAAATGTCTATATCAATTCACAAACGTCAAAAAACGTCCATAAAGATTACAAGCGATGAGACAGAGAGTAAGGATGCGTCAGATTGTTCCTCGACCGCAGCGCTGCACTGTCAAGGTCATGGTACTTTCACTAGACTACAGAGTATGACAGTGATGTAACGGACGCATCCTCTACATAGAGTAACAAAGCACGGCACCGTGACCCGTGATAAGCCAAGATCGGATTATCCAATGTTAAATAAGCGGCAGATCTCAGTAGCAATCAATTTTAAACTGTACTAAAAATCACGGGCACAATAAAATTGTCACCAAGTGTTCGATTAATGATACAGCAAACAATTAATTGTTGACACAATAATTACGACCATAAGACACCATGCTCAATTACCTAGCAATTTTAGTGACCAATGAAACTCTACTTTGCTTAAATTGTATACTGTATTACATGTCATTACTAGATGGTCGATAGAAAACACTTAGTCAATTATGAATGTAATATTCGTAAAACCTGTGTGCGTAATCTGACTCGCTAGTAGTGACTGTGCAACAAATCTGGTGTGGATATTTAACAATGCCAGAACATTCAAATATTAGTGTTTACGTACATGACAAACCTCAGATTTAGTTATACATACAAGATACAATCTATAAATCGTTTCTCCAAGGATGTCCGTCGTCGGTCAGGCGTCTGCTGACTTAATTGTATTACCGCTATTAAATATTACGAGGTTTTTAATACAAGAACGTATCCTTCATTCAAAATTCTACGAGCCTTCCTGGTTTAAGGATTTAATCATGTTTAGCTTACCGTATCAATACTCCTTTACTCCTTGTTCATTTTTTTACCGCACCAATACTCCTTATTCATTTTTGTAAAACGTATAGAATTAACTTTTTCATGTGTATCACACAATCTATTGCACCGTCCCAAGTTGTATTCAATACAAAAAAATTCATCTTACAAAATTTGTATTCCTAAAAAACATTTTTTAAACGTTATATCCATAGGACGATAACTAACTAAGGAGTAACTATCTCCATTCATTACACGAACAGACACTCATGAAAAAATATTTCAACAAATATATGGCGAACATAAATTTAACTCAAGATTTCCAACTGCCAATCCCATAAAGGGAATCGATCCAAAAAGCCCGCGAAACGCTCAACAAAAGCCCGCGTGTCCTCGGAGCAACATTCCGCGTTTTTGGGCGGCTCTTCTATAAAACATGAGGGAGGGTTACGTCACACGAGATAAGATCCAAAACTGGGACAATACCTAACAGGGTCCAGCGTCTACACGGCCTCAACGGGGCGAATTTGAATAATTTATGTGGGACAAGTCGTTAAGGACTTGCGTGGTTTCCTGATGTTGAATGGTAGTAAGAGGGGGGGTTTATGTTGTATCAATTTTGTTGCAAATCACACTAAACAAAATGTCCAAAAAATGCGTAAATTCGAAGCATAGACGAATACACAAGCAAAGCGGTTGATAGTATAGTCAAATCTAGATGCAAAAATAAGTGCGAGAACCAACATCTTTATACAGCATTACCGACTTAGACGTATTGCTTTTTGTTGAAAATCACACTAAACAAAATGTCCAACAAAAAATTGTCTACTGTACGTGGTAATGTGTTTTCAAATAACACACCAAGTTGTGAGCTGATTTATCAATCGATAGCAAAATACAGTAAATGATTCATGTTTTGCAAAGAATCTGAAACATTAAATAGGGATGTAAACTCACATTGGTGGACTACAGAGACATTATTCTTTGTTTGGACAGATCGAGAGGCCTTGCCAAAGCCTCCACAATAATTAGGTCCCAGGTGACGAATCGATCAACACAATCTAGTAGGCCCATTCTACTGGAGGTTTCCTTCTTCTTCTTTGTTAAGATAATAATCCTCATATGGTACAGCACAACAGGCCTTCAGTAAAGATGTTGCTTTCAAAACATATCTTGCCCAGTTCTGTTGTATTGTTGTAGTAGTTTACCAAATGAAAATTTCAAAACAATTGTAGAAATATAATTATCAGTATCTCACCAAATTTTAATACAGTATTAGTCTGCAAACTAGAAATGTATACAACAATGTACGTTATTCGAGTCTGAGATTTTCCAAACACTTGAATTGTTGTAACATAAAATTGTTATGAAAACTCGAAACAAGGGTTTATAAAATAATGAAACTCTGCAGACGATTACAACATTTGGCGCGAAACAACGGACTAAAACTGTATCTAGAGACAGTACAATGCGAGAGTAAAAGTGATCGGCCTGTGGCTGGCTTTAGGCCAAACTGTCAGGCAAATACCGACGACCTTCCATGCACTTGCGGCCAACTTCGGCTAGAGATTCCTGGACCACGCAGATAGAGGAGTCTGGGTAACATCTTGATGAAAAGACCTAGCGTTAATGAGCCAATTGTGTCAAATAATGCGTTTATAATACTGAGAAAATTACTAGTAGTAGTAGTCCTAATAGTGAGCTTGAGTTGTAAAAGTACTGAATAAAATAAGAAAACAAAATAATGCATTTCAAGTAGTTGCAATTTACCAAAAATGAAGAAAAATTACATCGCAAAAGTCTTGGTATTACAAGTGCAACGACTAATTAAGAATTCAATTCCAGCTTGAAGTAATTTTAAGAGCTGGATTACATACGCAATTTCTCGATGAACAAGTGAGTTCACATGCAGAGCAAAAACTTAAACGCCACCGTAAAACATTCGACAATAAATCGCACGAACGAAGCTTGTTTACAAAACACGTGCATTTGGGGAGTGAAAATAGGCCAAGAGGGGCTCAAATTTAAAAGGAAGACGAATATGTGAGCGGTATGGAAGGGGGAGGGGTGGCCGTTTCTCTGGGAACCACGACCCTACGCACTGGCCTTGAAAAATGTCCAAAAATAGATTCGGAGCATCAGGCACATCAGAGGTTCAAGGTTAGAAGACAGCTGCAAGACGGGAAACATGGCGTCTAGGAACAGCTGACTCTTCGGAGTGTTGAGTAACAGAATCTCATCTAGACGTCTACATTGTGTACTGTACACAGTGTATAATATGTATTAACGAGTTAAGTTAATAGTTTTTTTTCTTTTGTGATTTGCAGCTTTTGATTTCTGTTTACGCATTTTTTCACCTAAGATCGTGATTCTTGATCCCCAAACGTCGTTTTGTACTACAGTAATAATGGAAAATAATCTCAATAATCCCTTATTATTAATGCATGCATTTTACATAATCCTGTTGTTTAGGGATACATCACAGAGAAGTAATATAAATTTATATAAATTTATATTACTGTCTACAAATTGGCTAAATAACTTAGGTACAGTACATTATAAAAGCTGACAGCCTTTTTATGTTGACTTGACTTAAATTGTAAGCTTACCATTTCCCGTCCATGGGCAGTTTGATAGTTAAAAATTAACCCTTTAAACTGGAATGGGACTGTTATGTAAATTGTGAGTATTTCAATTAGTTAATAATCTTTTAGTCGACTCTTTTAAAATAATCGGAAATTATGACTCTTATTAGTTTTTAAACAAGTCATTTGTTTATAGATAACTCCTGTACTTCTTTGCAATTGCTCGATTTCGAGCAACATGTACACTAGTTTATATAAATTTATATTACTTCTCTGTGGATACATGCAGGTTTATCAAAGAATGTCGCACAACTTTAAGTATAGGCAGTGAGAAACGTGCCAAAGGATTTCGAGAATTAATATTATATTTATCTTTGGTTTTTTAGAAAAATAGGTAACGACTTGTGTTTGTTGTATCACTATCTTTGTTTCAATAATTTGAGTCCCCCTACTTAGCCAAACTCTTATTGATTGATCAA